CTAAAAGGCAGACTCTGGTGATTTTTATGCTCAAATAATTAAATAAAAGTGAGAATTAGGACACCAGATCCTTTGGCTTCTGACATACTGCCTTTTTCTCCAAATTCAGGATGCATGATCCTTTTGCTCCTCAGTTAATTAGCATCTAGGTTATAATCTCACCCAATCCAGTCCTGATGCCATGAACTTGAGAAACAAACACCATGAAGCCTTTGGAGCCCCGGATGGTTGGAGAATGGAGACAGGCTGAGTGCTAGTAGAGACACATTTCCTGGGGGAGGGGAGAGGAGGTTGGGGGATGGATGGGGGCTGGAGGAGAGGGTCTCTTCTGTGTTACTTTATACTTCTACACAGAGATGACCCCACACATTGATGGTGTGGAGGCTGGGTGACTCATGTGTCATCTATGAAGAAAGATTCAGAAAAGAGCCCTTGTGCAGGCCACCACCCTGAGATCAATACTTGGCCCCCAGGAGCCACCCCTTTGGGGCCACGCAAAGTGGAGACATCAAAGTGGAGACCTGTTCTCACCTGCTCCAGAAGTGTTTGCCCAGAGTCATTGTGTGTGTGCGCGTGTGCGTGTGCGTGTGCGTGTGTGTGTGTGTGTGTGTGTGTGATCTCGGAAGCTAAATGGCCGAATTGGAACCCTTTTTTCCTCAATCCCCTACTTTCAAATATTTAATAGCTCCTCACTATTCAGTGAAGTGTGCACCAAGCACTCCCCCCACCCCCAGCAGAGAACTGGGAACTCTATGTGCCTCAACCTACTTTTCCCATTTGCTTTCACTAAGTGCTTGCGCGTACTCTGTGTTCCAGCCAGTTTATACTCCCTATTCCCCAAACACACCCTGTACTTTTTCGTCCAGATGACTTTGTTCCTGCAGCTCATTCCACCTGCAAAGCACCTTTCCCTCTGTCAAAACTCAGCAAAATCTCCAGGGCTCCGTGCCAATGCTACCCACCCCCCAACCCCCAAAGTGCCACCGTCTCCCATGAGTTGGAAATGACGTAGAAATACATCCACCTTGTTGCCCTTCTACATTATAAACCCTTTAAAGATGGGAACTAATAAATATTGGTTGAATGTTATGAATTTAATGTTTCATTCTATTTGGCACGCTTAGACCCATGGGCACTGTTGCTGTTTTGGAATGGACGTTAGAGAGTGATTTTCTGAATAAATAAAGGTCAGCTAATACAGATGGGAAATGGTATTGAACTATATTGTTGATTTAAAAAATAGAAAAAATAATACCTCTAAACAGGTGACTAATAAATGTAAAATTCATACTGGTTAACAAAACTTACAACCTCCCTCTGCTACCCAGATACTGAAAACATCCATGACTTATTTTCATGCAAAATTTACTGCTGATATATATAAGTTATAGCCATCTAGGTGAATAATAAAGTGTCACTTCTAATCACTCTTGGCTCCTGTCAAGAGTTTGACCAATTAGAACTCACCCCGACGAGGAGGTGGCTGCTGGTGTTGCCAGGCAACAGACAAGCTAGGAGGCACATTGAGATGCTCTTAGATTTAACCAGCGGCAAGTCGGAATGACATTATAATTCTGGCAAAGGAGAGCCAAATTATAACCCAGGATGGGGTACCCATGATTAGAAGTGTGTTTTCTTTTGAATGCAGATGGAAAAGGAACATTTTAACCAGAATTTAAACAGTTCATCATTATATTGATTTTAACTAGGAGATTAAGTGGCAGTGGAATACAACTATGTTGCAGGATAAGGACCTCTTGCTGCTAGATAAATACCCAGACGTTCTGGAAAACAGGCACCTGGTCAGGCAGGGACAATGTGTTTTTGGATTCCGAAGTACTTATCACCACAGCCGCACTTGGTTATAATGACTTCCATTTTTATTGTTTGGAAGGACTCAGAAATAAAAGCAAATATTAAAAATAGATGGCGGGAGGCTGATACAGCCAAGAGGACGCTGCTTGTTCTAACATCATGGGAAGACGGGGGTCTGTTTTAGAAGCCCTTGTGCGTGACTGTCTGAGAGTTTACAGTGAAAATTTGAAGGCCAAACTAAACTGTGGTGATGACTGTCATTCTGCAAAGACTTTTGCACTGAAATGGCTGTAACTATGCGTTTACTCATAAGCTGGCTTTATCAACTTAAATTTTTAAAAATTGTAGTCATCCTGGAGTAATACGTCTTCTCCGAGGCAAGAAAGGCCTAGAGGGAATAATAACCACTTCTGCCTCGCCTTTTAGATTCATACGTTATTGACTGTGCCTTCCTGACAGGAAACATCTGGATGAAAGTGAAAAATTAGGCATCAAGCTGGATTCTCGGTGCCTGGAAGAGATACCAACCTTCCCAGTTGCTCTGGCTTTTCTTTGAGTCCCCAAGCACAGATATACAATTGGGTCATTTCCTCTTGAGTGACACACACATAGCCTTAGGAAATCATGTATGAAGTTGCCAGCTCAGTGGGCCTCCACCAGCTTAATTATCTGGGTGAATGAGAGAATGTCCATCACATCTATCCAGCTTTGAGGACTGAGAATATACCAGCCACCATATTGGGTTGGGTCCATGGTCCATGGTCCATCCAATTTGGAGCTTGGTCTCTGCTCAGGAGGCACTTGACAATGGAGTTGCCCAAGAACTCTACCTCCAAAGACATAGTGCCCACTTGCCTCATTTCTCTCAATAGCCAGCGATGACATTAACTACCCGTGCTTTCACCTACTGCAAACTTATTTGCACCCAGAATAAACAAAGAGAGAAAGATCTCCCTACTGCAGGTTTCTCCCAAGCCTCTAATATGCTAAGGTACTTGATGAATCTCTAAGAAGATGGTTTGCAATATTTTACTGAACTGGATGACCATTCGGCCTTTTGGGCCCTCGGTGATGTCAAATCCTTTTCCTAGTAATAAGTCCTAGTTTGAAGTTCATCGTCACATAAGTGTAGTCGAAATGCTTTTCTCCTCAATGTATTATTTTATTCTTGCTTACACTGAAGGCTTAGCTGCCACTTTTGTGCTGACATACACAACCTTCGAACAGTCTTAGCAACTTATTTCAATTGATTTAATACTTTTCAACTCAGAGAGCTTAGAGGAATATACAAATGTATAGATTTCCCAGTGTTCTCCCTCTTTCAGATGAGTTATAAAATTTAGAAATAAAATTAGTGCTCACCTGGGTCTCCGGGGAATCCCTTTACTTATATGTTTCCCTCAGAGAAGAATTAAATTAGTCCCCAGTTTTGTTTCCTGAAGATAAATCTATTTACTTCCTGGCCCATAATAAAGTTTTACACAATCCCAGGGTTACTCATTAATAGCCTTTGGTAAAGAAACTAAAAAAAGGCTCTAAAAATCTAAGTAAATCTACCAGTTGCCCCTTAAAAAAATTAATCCTTTAGGAGAGAGGGTGAAAACTCTGGCAGGTTAACCTGGCAAAATCTCCCCCCAATAAAGCCATCAGTTGTTTCCCCCGCACTACGTAGCCATCCTTTAATATAAATCTCAGGAACTCGCCTGTCACTGGGCTATGACTTGATGGTCTCTTCTGATTCCGGAATCAGGCATGAATCAATCCATTTCCACTGTCTCTCTCTCTCTCTCTATTATCCCTGGTACAACTTAAGCCGGAAACCAATTTTATTTTAAATAAAAAATATGGATTTGTGATATAATGCTGATTTTAAAGTAACTTTCAAGCATTGTTGACTGAGGCAGCCTAATATCCACATAAATAAAGCCAGTTTTATTTGAATATTAATGACACAGATACAGTAAAGGACTTGGGCTGCCAAGGTGCCATGGGAAAAAGCCTGAGACTTCCAAGGGAAAATAAACCTTGATTTCAAGAATGAACTCTGAAGTTTGAAAACAAAGCCCAAAAGCTAGCCACAAATTCAGAAAGGACTGAAGATAATTGATATTTCAAAGTTATTTCTGGGAAAACTAACTTAGGAACCAGCAACCAAGTGAAGTGCAGGCTCCTGCTGGTTCTCTGAGCTTCTCCCAGCTCTGCCTCCTCCACCCAGACCCTGTGTGCCTCATTCTCCTCTTTGTGTCCTTGTGACCTGCTTTTTCTTTCTTTTTTAAATATATATTTTTATTGATTTCAGAGAGGAAAAGAGAGATAGGAACATCAATGATGAGAGAGAATCATTGATCGGCTGCCTCCTGCATGCCCTACACTGGGGATGGAGCCTACCACCCGGGCAAGTGCCCTGACCGGGAATTGAACCATGACCTTCTGGTTTATAGATTGATGCTCAACCACTGATCCATGACGGCTGGGCATGACCTACTTTTTCTATTTCCGTATATATCTAATATCTATATTGGTGACTCTCTAAAGAGGAAGCCAACAATTGGTTGCATCCTTGTATTTAATTTTTCCTTGATAAAATTATTTCCCTTTCTCTCAGTTTTAACATATATCCTTCCATAGGAAGCTTCCTGGTTCTTTGATTCTTCATTCATCCATTCATTCAGCAAATCATTACTTAGGGCCCATTATGTGCCTAGTGCCGTGCAGTGAACAATAAAGAAATAAACCAAGTCAAGTAAATGGAATGTTCGCTGGTGGTAGAGCTACAGAGGAGAATAAAGCAGGGAAGGGTTTGGGGTCCTGGGGCCCAGATTCTGAGAACGTGGGTAACCACAGGCCAGATGGTTGGACAAGGGACCAAGAGTCAGACAGATCCCCAGCCCTTTCCACTCTGGCTCTTATCGTAACGATGCCAGGGGACTTGTGACATTTATAGACTTAGAAGTCCTCCTTCTGCAGGTCCTAGGGTGGCTAGAATTATGTATTTTTAACAAGGGTTTCAGGTGCAGCTGTTGGTCACAAGCCCGTGGTTTGAGAACCAGTGATCTAGAGACCAGAGGCTGATGGGAGGTTTAGGTCCAAGATGCTGGGGAAAGAGGCAGTCAGAGACACTAATGTCTGGAAGCCTGCTCTTCTCTCTTCCCGCCTCCCTCCATCTTCCATAGGATAGAAGCCAGGCTCTTCCCATGTCCTCCATCTGGTCTGCACCTTGTCACAGGGTCCGTGCTCAGGGCCCCACACCTTGCTTGTTCTTCATATGCAAAGGGAAGTTGCTTTTGGGATTAGGAAAACTCTATCCCCCTAACAAATCTTGGCTTCCAAGACCCCTGTCTCTGTGTGGATCACATCAGCCTGGTGTGCAGTTCCAGGCTGAGCAATGACCTCCTTGCTCTGGACGGCACCACTTCTTCTGAAGCAACGAGAGCCACGGATCCGGTGGGGAGAGGAAATCACGGGGACACGATTTACGGAGCGTGAGACACTTACATTGGTCTCATGTTGGAAAAATATTATCCTTGTCACGTCCCTTTCAGTCCTCATGTTTCCTTCATTTAAGCAGCATTTAGCACCTCTTTCCTCCCTGAAATACTCCTCCTCCCTGTTCTCCTGGAATTCGATTGCAGCTCTTCTTCCTGAGTCTTCTTTGTAGGTTTCTGCTCTGCCCCTCACTTCAGTGTGGCTCTCCGCAGCCCCCCTTTCTCTCCTGGTGTTACAGGCGACCTCGCCCATATCTGTGTGTCTGATGACCGTCTTTCCTACCCTTATCTCCTGAGCTTCAGATCTGCAGCCAACATCTCCCTGATGCATCTGCTCAGTTATCTGTTTCCCAGGAACCTTAAACTCACCAGGTCTAAGCTCTCCAGAGAGGGGGAGGAAGAGGGATCCCCCGCCCCTGGAATGGCCTCCTTTCAAATGGAAACCCAAGAAAGAAAACTGACCTGTATTTAGTAGGAAGATGATTTTCTGTGGAGCTTTAACCTCACTGGGGGTATATGTTAAACAGTGGTCTAGAACTGACAAAACCCAGGGGATCTGTCTATGACATCCCCCCACCCCCCGCCTCTTTCATTTATGACAACCCCTTCCCCTAGTGCTGTGAACCACTGTGAGGGCCTCTATTTTCTACAACTAATTCAGACACTAAGATTTCGATTTCTGAACCAGAGGAAGGAGATGCTTTGGGTCCCCCAGCACTAGATTTATTTGGGAAACAACATTGTACCAGTTTCTGGAATATACCCTGTAAGGTGCTAAAGAAATCTAGACCCTGATACGGGTCTTTTTCCCCCTCAAAGAAACAGCTGAAGACTGACAAGAAAACTCTTTTCCTTTCTTACTGTTTTTTCCCCAATCAATACACTTCATCAGTGTCTTTTTAACAAATGAGATTCTCGCTGCATCTGTAGTGCCGCCACACCATTGCTGACTCATGAGTAAAGAAATAGGATGCACCATGTCCAGTGGATGTCACTCCCCTTCTTTGGTTAACTCCGCCAACCAGTCCCCGAATGGGCAGGTTGCAGCCTCCCTGGCAGGAGGGCGGCCCAGAGCACACACCAGGTCAGGGAGGGAGCCCTGCCCCGCTCCCAGCCTCCTTACATATTGAGGTTTCAAGGGAGAATTTGTTTGAAGGAAGGGCCTGCTTCTTTAAAAAGTTGTAAGCGGTGGAAACAAATTAAACCTCATTGAAGATGGACAGGATCACAGGTTTCTGAGAGAGCTCCCTTGGATGGAGTTAATTATGATGTACGGGACCCTTTCCTCTCCTGGGGGCTTCGGAAAATTCATAGGTTTTGAACATAGGGGTGAGCGTCTTGAGTTGAAGCTAAGAGTAGCTTTCATTTATTGAGCTGACGACAGGCCACTCCAAGCCCAGCCATTGTGGAACAGCTAGACGTGGTGGGTGGCGCTGGAACTGGGACTCATACTGAGGCAGCCCCTTCGCCACCGAACATAAGGGCTCCAGACCTCCTCCTCAGTGGTTGCAGAATTCGGAACAGAAACTAAAGCCAGATCGGCCATGGAGGGGCCATCAGTGAGGATCAGGAGTGGGAGAACTTGGCCAGGAGAAGAGGTGGGGGAGGGGGGAGCCCAGGGCTTACAGAGCTGGCAGCCTGTTGGGGATGCCACCCTTCCCTCCGCCTCAGCCGGGAAGGATGACCAGGGCGCTCATTCACCAGGGCCTGCCTGCGTGCCCAGAGCTCTTCCACGTGCACCCCCACTCCTCCCCAGGGACCATGGCCCTCTCCTCCCGCTTTGGGTCTGACCGGAGCCCACCTGTGTTTTGGGCTGTTCTCCGGCCCCTCGCTGTGTAAGGCGAGCCTCACTATTCAGGAGCATCCACACCACCTGCCAGGTTGTTAGAAAGCAGAGTCTGGGGGGGGGGGCATTGACAAGACCACCAGATGGTCCATTATACGTGAAAGTGTGAGGGACACTGCCCCAGTTTTCTCCCGTGTGCCCCCAGAGTGCCTGGGGCAGGGTCTGGGGACATAGAGGGGATGCCCTCAGTGCTGTTGATTCGATGGGTCTTGGCCCCTGAGGATGTGGGAGGCTGGGGAAACGGAAGACGCCGATGCAGCGTCCTGTGCTTTTGCAGAATAGCGAGGTCTAAAGGCCCCAGGAGGCAGGACATTTTGTTGGGCCATGTGGACGAGTGATGCAGGGTGAACCAGCTCCCCATCGCCATTTGAAGAAAAGAAACCTGTCCCTTAAGGAAGAGAGTCTGCATTTCCCGGGTCTTACCTCATTCAGCTTTTCAGGACTGAAAGCAGAAGTTAGGACACTTCTGACTTCTTCCCACCTTTTGTCACGTAAAAACACGATGCTGTCAGCTACCGGTTTGCATTCCAAACCCGTTGCCTGATGGAAAACAGCAAGCAGAGGGTTAGACCACAAGGGAGCCCGAGCCACCTGGGCGGCAGTGCAGGCCCATGACAAAAGTTTTAGTCACAGGTTCACCAACGACCAACAAACGGGGAGGTTTCGTTTGCAAGGATACAGGAGAAGAATATAGAGTCTTAAGGATAATGACCTGAAGATTCATGGCCGAGGGCCGGGGCAGCAGATGGATACGCTCTGCTGGCCCAGTTTGCCCTGGGACAATGAGGTCACCGCTGTATAAGTAACACAGCCGTCCTGTATGCTCAGCAGTCTCCCTGCAGAGTGAGGGGTCCCTGAGGACCGAGCAGCAGGCTTCTTGGGGTGAGCTAGTCTCCCCTGGGATGGAGTTTCAGGCCTGAACTTGATGGCAAGAAGTTTTGTGTGGCTGGATTGGTCAGGTGGGGCCGGGAGTTGACAGACTCATGTGTCTGGGTCTTTGGTGTGTGTGTTGTCAGGGTGGGGAGGGGGCGGGGAATGGGGGAAGATAAGGTGGGGAGTGTGGAGGGAGATGGGAGCGGGAAAGGAGAGTCCTTCAGAAGCTTATCCCAACAGAGCTGCTTCCGAAAGAGCCGTGTTTCTGTGTATTTCCACTCATTCACACACTCATTCATTCATTCCTTTTTCTCATTCAGCAAACATTTGTTGACTATGTAATACATGCAAGGCGATGGCTCTCCAGGGTTGAATAATGAAGGCGTAGGTTTGGCCCTCAAGGAGTTGATAGTCCAGTGGGGAAGCCGACAGGGAGCTCATAGACTAACGAACAGATGTCATTACTGCTCATGAGAAGGTGAGAGTTATGAAGTGAGGAAGCAGGGCAAGGTGAGAACATCATAGGGGACCAAACGGTCAGGAAGGCTTCTTGGAGGAGGAGGTAGCCAGCTGAGTCTGGAAGCATGCAAAGGACGAGCCCTCCTCACCCCTTCTTTCTAGGCTATTCTGTTTCTTCCTAAAACCAGCTACTCCCACCCAGTGGTCAAAGCTGGCCGCCCCCCCCAACCCCAAAGCTGATCAGTGTGTCCCCCCTCCCCCGCCCCAAGGTCTCAGGGTGTGAGGAGGACGGGGGATTGGAGGCCCAAGCACTCTTCAGAACCACATGTGATGTACGGTTTCACTAGTTCTTTTCCCCGTTTTAATTATAGTTGAAACATGAAGCCAGCCATCATAATTCAAAAGCCTTGTAAAAACTCCTATTTAGAGGAAAATTATAATTTTCTGATAAAATATGAACACTCAGAATAAGCTATAAAACATAACTGCAAAGTATCTAGGTGGGGGGAATTAATTATATATAAGAACCAAGGGGCTGGGCTATTTTTCTGCAGAGGAATCCTCTCCGTGTTTAGGATGAAATTCTTTAGGAGTGCCTTGGTCACCATGCAGAATGGTGGCTTTATGGAGTTATGGGAACATAACCCATTTGTTTAGGTTCCAGAGTCACAGGAGAAAGCGTGCATTAGGTATATTTATATGTTGGCAAGCACCCAGTCCTGTGCAAAGCTGCAGGCAATAAAGCATCCCACTCCAAGGAAGGCTGGGTGGTGGTTTATGGGGTCCTGATGAAACCGAATAAATTAGAGATAAGAGTCAAGATTGATTGGATATTGTATCCATCCATCAGACCTAGGACTGGATCCAAGACGTTTTTTATCTGGCACCTGGAGGACAAATCTAGCCCTCCGCGCTGTCAGCATCGCCCTCAAACCTCCCCCTCCCCAGTCGGCCGGGACGGTACTCTTCCCAGCCCACAGCTTCCATTAGGATTCCCCAGTTTTAATGGAGAATTTCAGGGGCATAGGTTAGAGAAATGTTTTCAGTTCTAGATGTCATACTGTAAGAGGGAGAGCGGCAAAAATCGGTCATTTCAGAAGAGGAGATGTGAATGGATGTCATATAAAATAGTTGTCAAGTTTTGGAATGTTCGGCGGCAAATAGAAGACTTGGATGACCAGAGAACAGTACTTAATGTGAGCTCAAAATATATTTACCGAAGGCATGTTACATGGGAGAGGAAATTTAGGTTGTTTTTAGGCCTGCGGGCGTAGAAATGGGTTCAATAGGGGAAGCTAACTTCCCAATAGTCAAAAGGCAGAATTAGTCCGGCTGGCATGGCTCAGTGGTTGAGCATCGAACTATGAACCAGGAGACCACAGTTTGATTCCCAGTCAGGGCACATACCTGGGTGTCGGGCTCGATCCCCAGTGTGGGATGTGGAGGAGGCAGTCGATCAATGATTCTCTCTCATCATTGATGTTTCTCTCTCTCTCTCCCTCTCCCTTCCTCTTTGAAATCAATAAAACAACAACAACTAAACAAACAAATAAAAGGCAGAATTGTTTAAAGAAAAAATAATCTGCCCTGAGTGATGAGCCCCCATTGCTGGAGACTCACCCCTTCCTGGAAATCCTGCACAGAAGGTTTGAGTGTCTGAGGGGTTAGGGGGTTGGCCTAAATGATCGTTAAAAACTCTTCCAAGCCTGAGACTTCCTCTCCAGAACACTCCTCCAGGTATTTTTGTATTAGTTCTCTTTCTCTCTCTCTCTCTCTCTCTCTCTCTCTCTCTCTCTCTCTCTCTCTTTCTCTCTCTCACACACACACACACACACACATTAATTGTGGCCAATTACACATAATTTAAAATGTACCATCTTAGCCATTTTAAGCATGCAGTTCGGTGGTCTTAAGTACATTCACACTGTTGTGTAGCCATCCCCACACACCCATCCGCAGAACTCTTTCATCTGGTGAAACTGAAACTCCGCCTATGAAACAGTAACTACCGCCCCATTCCTCAGGCCCTCTATGCTTAACAATTGATTAGGTTTGTTGAGGGAGGCCTCGAGAGACACAGAGAGCTCTTCTCCAAAGAAATGGGCAATGGAACCTGACCCGGAAATCTGCTGGGGGCAGGACTGTGAGTGTCGGAGCAGAAAAGGAGGCGGGACCAGGGAAACAGGGCTTTCTAGCCTCTTGTCTGTCCGCCCAGTCCTGTGTGCAGAGTCTCAGCGAAGGCATCTTCAATCGTTTTCTGGGCAGGAGTTTCCAGGCAGCAAGCCGTGGCCAGTGGAATTGGTGGAATCAGTATAGTGGGTGGCAAGCAGCGAGAGAGAGAGAGAGAGAGAGAGAGAGAGAGGGAGAGAGAGAGGGAAGAGAGAGAGAGGCAATAAATAGAGCAGAGTAGAAAGAGGAGTGTTTTATAAAGTACGGCTATTTTGTTGTTGTAAAACTTTTATTCAAAAGTATGCGTGTGTGGTATATATATACATAGAGAGAAAGATAGTGACTGTTCTGTGTCATGATGTGAAATGTGTTTCTTATTGTAGGCCACAGTCAAAAAAAGTTTGAAAAACCTACTGTAACCAAAACACCAAATTTTGGAGTTGGCCTCTCCCTCAACTAATATCCTCTCAGTCAAAGTGTTGTTAGGTTGTCAACATTTATTGAGCACCTACTATGTGCCAGGTGCTATATTAGCAAAGAATGGGACTCTTGTCCTCAAGGGGCTCATGGGGTGGTTTTTAACCAACATCTGTTGATCTTACAGCTATGAAAGTCCTTTCTATGTCATTTCAATAAGTTGGGGGTAATTCTCCAGCAATAGGGAGACCTGTCCTGGTAAGCAGTGATGGTCCAGCAGTGGCCTCCCTGCTACCTGTTCCTTGGACAGCTGACCGGGTTTATCTTTTCAATTAAGATCTCATAAAACAGAGCCTGACTTCCTACTAGACCAGCTAAGCATAAACCGTAAGCTTTGAAGAATGCCACAATCCCGGGGAGCAAGTTATTAAAGAAAACGAACACCTTGGCATCCTGAGGTCCCATGAAGAGAGAAACCATTAATTGGGTGTTTGTCCTGGGCCAAACCGGATTCTCAGCTGACCTGGAGAGCCGCACAGAGCGCTGCGAAGCCCGGGCAGGGCCCTCTGCTGTGCCCGAGTGTGCAGGTTGTTATGAAAAAGGCACAAGCGACATAACAGAACATGAGGCCGTAGCCTGCATGTTTCCTTGTGTCCTGGGATCAGCAAGAACATCGACTCTAGATCCGTGTGATGCCTGTGAGGCTGTGGCATAGAAGCCAACGGTTCTCAGGTGGCCACGCCGAGCTGCAGGTCGCGTACACAGAGTGAGGTGCTTTTAAAGACGCCAAGAGATACTGACAGACTTCGGGGTCCTGGTGCGAGCATTGCCAACTTGTTCAGTGGGGTGTCAAGTAGGCTGCAAAAATATTAATACAAGAAAGCGTGCCGTGACCACTGTGCCAAACCTAATTTTCACACAACCGTGCACAGATGAGAGGCTTCCTGGCACCACCTGTCTCTCTCCTCACCTGGCAGGTGCAGCATGTTTCCCATCCCCTCATTATATTATAACCAACAACTAACTACTCTAGAACCCCAAATTCTATTCCTGAGAACATATGCTGTTTTCAACACGTGGCTACACCTGCACAGAAATTGCCATCAGGGCTTCCATCTTGGTGCTTTGAAATAGTGAAGTGTTCCATCCCCACTGGACGATCGTCACCCACTCACTCTCCACCAGAGGAAGAGGGTCCCAAAGGTCACGTGATCTTCCCTGTCTCGGCTTCCGACATGGACTGGCCAGAGAGCGTGGCCTCGGAGGAAGTGGGTGTGGTGTGTGGTGTGTGGTGTGTCCACAGCTCAGGGGGGCAATGGAGGCTAGATCCAGCTTGGGCTCCATCTGCCAACTCATCATCTAATTGGACAAAGGCATGCTATGGACTCGGGTGGCCCTGCTGATAGGGTTTCCAGCATTTCCTCCAGGGAGGGGAACCACACGCTTGCATCTGTGTTTGCACTGGCCCCATGCCAATGGCGGCGTGGGGTTTCCTGACTGGGGAAGCGGGTGAGAGGGTTTGGGAAATCATGCCTCCTGAGGAAGATCTTCACCGGCCCTCAGCAGCTTCTCGTAGGAGCGGTGTTAAGGAGGGTGGGGTGTCTCTGACATGTCCCCTTTCACACTCGGCTGGGAAGGGCAAGTCTCCTGAGAGGATGAATGTTGCCTCGGGAGAGGCTGCACCTGGGCAGCCAGGGCCCTGGGTTCCTGTGGTTCTGGATAAAACCACCCACAAATCATCCCGTGGCTTCCGACGTGTCTCTTGTGAGCCAAGGGTGTGACCGGACCTGTGCCTGGAGCGGCGACCCTGTGTCACCCATGAGGACCTCAGGGCTGGTACCCACCACACACTGAACTCCCAGCACCTTTCATCTCTACTCTATGTCCAGGCAGAGCCTGGAGATGCACACGCCACAGCTGGACCCACTCTCCGTGTTGACATTTGGACTAGAACTCAGAGCTTCCGGCAGCAGGTTTAGTGACTGAGTGCACCCCTCCATGCTCCCTTCCAATAGACCCTGCCCTGGACCACAGACCCCCTACCTCGCTCACCCTTCCCACAGCTCCCCCAGCTCTGGGCTTGGGGAGAGACCAGGGGTGGGAAGTTCTGCCGCTGGTTGTGACCATCCCTGCTGAGTCACGTTGTGACCATCCCTGCTGAGTCATGCGGGCCCAGCTCCAGTTTCTGCAGATATTAAAGTAAGAGCTGCCCTGGGTCCATGGAGTGCCTGATAGCAAAGAGGAGCTGATTAAAAATATTTAAATAAAAATAACCAAGTCTCGAGGTGATGGGACAATAGGTCCTATAAACGTTAGAAGATTGGTTTGGGTTTAATGGTAAACTGTGGTTCATGACCAGGAAGCAACATCAGGAAGTGCTGCGGGCACTGATAGAGGCCAAGAGTCCATTTGGAAACTGGGAAAGTTAGAGCAGTCTTTCCATAGAATTGAGAGCCTCAAAAAATGTGATGGGGCCCTAGCCAGTTTGGCTCTGTGGATAGAATATTGGCCTGCGGACTGAAAGGTGTGTCCCAGGTTCAATTCTGGTCAAGGGCACATGCCCGGGTTGCGGGCTCAATCCCCAGTTAGCGGGTGTGCAGGAGGCAGCCAGTCAATGCTTCTCTCTCATCACTGATGTTTCTCTCTCTCTCTCTCTCTCTCTCTCTCTCTCTCTCTCTCTCTCTCTCTCTCTCTCTGGGGAGGGTTAGGGGGCAGGTGGGAGTGGGGTAAGAGATCAACCGGAAGTGTGATGGGCATGCATATAAGCATAACCAATGGACATAAGACACTGGGGGGTAGGGGAGGCCAGGGGATTGTCAAGGGCGGGGGAAATAAAAGGAGACATATGTAATACTCTTTGTAATACTTTAAGCAATAAAAAAAAAGAAGTGTGATGGGGATCCAGCACATGTGGCTCAGTGGTCGAGCATCGACCTATGAACCAGGAGGTCCCGGGTTTGATTGTTAATCAAGGCTCCTGCCCGGGTTGCTGGCTCAATTTCCAGTGGGGGGTTTGCAGGAGGCAGCTGATCAATGCTTCTCTCTCATCGATGTTTCTAGCTCTCTCTCCCTCTCCCTTCCTCTCTGTGGAAAACCAATAAAATATATTTTTAAAAAAAGATGTGAATTCTCTCATAAGAGGAAACCTCAACTGCCAGGAGCATAACAATGACAACAAAAATATACCAAACAATAAGGTATGCCCTGGTTCTCAAACCTTCAGTATTAGCACCACAGGCTACTTATTTCATCTACTATAACTAGGAAAAAAATACTTTAAAAATTGAAGTTCTTTTGATAAGAGAGCAATATTATGGTAAATTAAATGCCAAAAAAATGATAGAGCGTAGCCATATTATAAATAATATTACTTTAGACCAAGTTATAGACCATGCTCTAATGCTTCTTGTAATATGTGTGAAATGTTTGCACCTGGCTATAAAGCAAGTCATGTTCCTGGACTGAAGAAACTGTAAGGAGGCTAGTCACTAGGGAGAGGAAGCCAGGCATTGCTACTTGACATCATTACCCGGCACCCACAGCGACCATTTCCGGGCTGGGCTGGGCTGGGCTGTGGGCTGCATTTTGTGCCATGGGGTCTTGGCAGCGTTGGCTGCGATTTGGTGGGCTGTCATTCCGGAGTGGTGGCAGGGCCTATGTCCCACTTGGGGGAAGCCAAGTGTTGCTTTGTTAGCACCAAGTCTGCAGTGCTAAAATTTCTTTGTAAATGGCCAGTGCACGTCACAGCGGCATTCCTGTGTTGAGCTTCTGCGCCCGGGTGGTCAGTGCGTGCCATAGCGACCGGGCGGACAGTTAGAGAGCTCACATCACCCTTCTGCGCCCTGATGGTCAGTGCGCCTCATAGTGACCGGGCGGACAGTTAGAGAGCTCACATCACCCTGCCACATCACCAGGTCGGTGGGGCCCACATGCGTCAAGTGTGAATTTGTGAGCAAACATGGGTTCTCACAACAGAAAGTGAAGCCATGCATTATTTAAGTTCCTTTTCACCTAATGTAGCAAACTAATATGCTGAAGTGTTTTCTGTATCACAAGGGACCATTTGGTAGAAGCTTGCATGGAGTAAGCGGTTAATGTTTACTGAGTGAATGTATAATAAAGCTGGGTAGCGGAACACCTACATAAACATGGCTTATTGGAGGGGAGGCAGCATGGTGTCACAAGGAGAAATCACGCCTCACTAATCTTGAGTTCTTTGAGCAGATAAATAAGCAGATGGATAAGAGGAAACCACAGAACCCAATTTAATTTGACTTTCAAAAGCCTGGGAGAAAAATCCCACTCTAAGATGGTTTTTTAAAAATGGAGTCACTAAGGATTGTTTTGTCATCAATATGGAATTGGCTGAAAGCCTGTAAACAAAGCTAGAGAAGTGGCTGTGTCCCCAGATGGAAAAGTATAAACATCGGCGTTTTCTAGAGCTCTAATCTTTGATGGGTCTTCTTCCATGTTTATGAAGAAGAGAAGTGAAAGTGTATATTGACTTGCAGGCTCAGGTAATGCCTAGGACTTCTAGGGAGAGTGTCAAGTTGATGGGGATTCAGTTCAGATTGAACAAGGACATGCTGGATACTGAATAGTCCTTATGTGCTTGGGCCATGGGGTACAAACAGTAGTACAAGCCTTAAAGAGCTAATGATCAAATTAGGGTGAAAGCCATACGTTCATGTACTGTAACTAGTAGGGGGCACAGAGGCTCAGTTGTGAAATTGAGTGACGCTGATGATAAGCGTTATAAGAGTTGAGAGGAGAAAAGTAGGGAAGGCTTCATGGAGGAGGCAAAATTGGAGGACAGCCTGGAAGATTAGCTAGGGATTGGACAGATGCCAAGAGGTAGAGGTCTTCCTATTAATAGCAGCTAGTGCTCCTTGAGTGCTTGTCTTGCCTGCAGGTAAGGCAGGATTTATATGTGTGATCTCATTTAGCCTTCACCAGCCCAAAGGTAGATCATCTCCCCACCTTCCAAAGGAGGAAGGAGAGGCTTGAAGGAGTTAAGTAATTTTCTGAAGTTCACATCACTGGTAAATGCAAAACCCACTTTTATGCTGCCTCCAATTCTAGTGGGAGTGTCAGCACGAGCAAAGGCCCTGGGGCAGGGCTTTCCAAAGGAGGTTACCCAGAGAATGGAGAGGCTGGTCCCACTGGAGTGACAGCTTGTATTGGGAGCAGTGAGAGGTGAGATTGGAGGATATGAAATGTATCTAAAGTATAGAGGCCCTTAAATCCCATCAGGGGAACTTGAACTTCATCCTGAGTACACTGTGTTGAGTGCAAGAAGGAAATTAGAACCATATTCTGAATTTGGGGCTTGTAAACCTTAGTCTGGGGTTGAGAAAAATTAGAGAGGACAGACAAATGATTTAGAGGAGAAGTGGACCGAAGGTGGGGCAAATTTGTTGGTGCACATTGCTTGCATGTGTATGTTGAGTGAATGTCTGCTCCTAATATATCAATTAGAGGACAGCCCTCTTCCAAGTCAGCCATCAGGACCTTGGTAACATCTGGGTGTCACATGAAACACTAGGGAGGCACGTGGCTGCCACGTCCCATCTCACTGCTTAGGGGTTAAGGGTACTCAAGAACCGTGGCAGGCTCTCAGAGTGCCTTCGCTGTCTGCTAAGACACAGCTTGGGGGTCTGGGCCCTGTGACTCACTGGCTTCCGCCACTTCTATAATCAACACTCTTTGAGCAAAAACCAACAACTGCATTTACTATCAGACCCAGTCTCTCAGAGTCCAACGCCACAGAAGACCTTGAACTTGAACAGGGGAACAGCAATATAATGTTCGGGGAAGAGAACCTAGAGGCAGCATAGTGAACTTCTGCAGTTCCTTCAGCCATCCCTCCAGGCCACCTTCTCGTGGCCATGCGGCGTCTGGAACTGGGCATGAAGCTCGGGGCTGGACAATGAGCATGTTTGGGTGAGCAGCCAGCTACTCAGTGAAACCTTGCCGGTCCAGAAATGCCCCCTGAGGCAACTGTCATAGTTGTGGCAGGAAAAAGCGCCCTGGACTTGAGTTGGGAGATGGCATGTGAATCCCTGCTCTTCCTACTAGTCATGTGACCAGGGTAGTCACTTCATCAGGTCTTAGTCCCCTTGTTTGTTCAATAGAGATGATAATTGTACCAATCTCATTAGTTCTGATGAAATTTAATGAGAACAAAACACTCTGGGTGGCTCAACCAGCACAGAACACAGGGGGTCTATGCAACTTTCTTTAAGATTCAACCCCCGAGATCTCCCACCTAATAAACCTTCTTCTGTCCCCATCCTGGGTCTCACAGTGTTTTCTACAGCAGTACACTCACCCTACCATAGTGTACTGGTCCCTCTGCCTGTCGGCCTCTGTCCCTAGACCTTGAGGTCCTTGAGGACAAGGCTGAGTCTTCTATGTCTTTATGACAAGCACCAGCACCAAAAGTTTGCCAAATAACCAACAAGAGTGACTACATTACCAACTATCCACATAAGAATGGGAGATGAGTTTAATTTGACAAAAAAAAAAAGTTGGCACATAGTGATTCTCTGAAGTCTCACAAATAAGTTTTTTTTCACTTTAGACTCATTTTAAGAACCAACATAAATGCTATTGGTCTTCTCTGCTAGAATTCTTATTTCCCCACTTTTGGAAAATATGGACTACTCTGACCTCTGCCATCCTCTGTCACCTCTTCCACTCCTTGGGATTTCTCATCAAAGATAAAAAGTAGGAAATATACTTTTTAAAAAGATGGAGTGTGTACATCCTTTAGTGGGTCGGAGACTTGAACTGACATAAAGGGGTCACTTCCAGGCTCCTCCTGCTACCTGGGGACAAATTTCCCTCTTAATGTTGCTTGTCTTTCCTTTCCAACCTCAAGAATTTTCTACTCTCTGAGCAAGATATCAGCACAAGAGGCTCAAAATTTTGCTTTTTCTCTGTCATTTATTAACCTTGCTGGGCCTTCCTCAGTCACTTGACCTGTGCCCTCTAGATTCCTCCAGCTTTGAACAACCCTCCAGGTTTTAGCATTTTTATAACCACAGCTTCTCTTGCTCTGTAGCTGTCTTGAAGCATTTCTTAAAGGTAAATTCCATTCTTTTTCACCAGTCCTGTACACCTCTTTTGAAAACCTGAATTCACTGGGGAGCTCAATTTTGAGTTGAGCTGATCTAGACCTGATAAGAGACCCAATCATGGCCCTATTAGATGTGATGTGCAGTCCTTGCATCTGAGAATAATTCCCCACACATCCATATGCAGAAAGAAAACTACATACCATCCTGTTGGTAAAATTACTGAAGTTCTCAACCAACACCTGCTTGATCATGTCTGGCTCCGAGATAACGATAAACATCCGACGGCCGAGATAGTACCTGGGAGGAATAAAAGAATTAGTTTAAAATATGTTGTATCTGTCTATCCATTTATCCTTTCAAAAAAGAGTTCGTAGTGGCTTGGCGTGAAGGATAAAAGACAAACAGGAAGTAAAGATGCAGAGTAGAGGAGGGCGGGCACGAGCTAATCCTGAGGAACCGGGATGATCTAACTAACATTCCACAGACATTTAGAGAATCCTACCTGTACCAGTCCCTGGAGATTCCCTGCATCCAGGGAGCTCATAGCCTGATAGAAAAGATGGATCTGTAAGTATAAACACCTTAATAAGGAATTCATAAGATCCAGCAGTAAGACCAAGAAGAAAATGGCCGAGGTCATTATTGTCCACATTGTTCAAAAGTGGAGAGAGAGTCATTCTAGAAAAAAAAGATTCTTGGAAAAAATCTGAAGTGAATTAATAAGCATTTGTGAGAATTCAGGAAAGATTAAACCTGCTGGGGAAGGGCTGAACATCTGGTTGCCACATCTGCATATGAAGGAACTCCACAGATACTTGGACGTTAACGAAGAATTGAGGGCAAGGACTGGTCAGTCAGCTGGTGCTAATGCATTCTACCTGGAGGCAGTGCTTACGAACATGCCTTGTATGTATTTATTAAATGCCGAGGAGACAAAAGCAACCAAGAGCCAGCCACAGCCTTCACATTTAATGGTGAGAGAATGAATACTTTCTCTTGAGATTGGGAACAAGGCGAGGATATATTTTTTTTAAATATATTTTATTGATTTTTTACAGAGAGGAAGGGAGAGAGATAGAGAGATAGAAACATCGATGAGAGAGAAACATCGATCAGCTGCCTCTTGCACATCTCCCACTGGGGATGTGCCCGCAACCCAGGTACATGCCCTTGACTGGAATCGAACCTGCCACCCTTCAGTCGGCAGGCCGACGCTCTATCCACTGAGCCAAACAGGTTTCGGCAAGGCGAGGATATTTAACATAGTGCTGGAACTCCTAGCAAGTCCACCATGGCAAGTAAATTAAAAGCATATAGATTGCAAAAAAATTAATGCAATTGTCCCTATTTTCAGATGACATAAAAAACCCTCAACTAATAAATGAGTTCAACAAGGTTGCAGAATTCAAGATCAACACACATACAAATGCAAAATCAGTATAGCATTTCTGTATACTAGCAATGAACATGTGGAAACCAAAGTTGAAATATGATACCATTTACAATGCATATTAAAAAAATCAAGGAAGACCTAAATAAATGGAGAGAGAAATGATGTTCATGGATTGGAAGACTTCACACTGTAAAGATGTCAATTCTCTCAAAACTGGTCCATAGGTTTAATGCAATTCCTATCAAAATCACAGTGAGAACTTTTTTAGGCACAGTCAAGCTTATTTTAAAACTTATATGGAAAGGCAAAGTTGTTAAAATAACTAAAAATCAATTTTGAAAAAGAAGAATGAAGTGGGAGGAATCCATCTACCAAGACTTGACTACAGTAGTCAAGACTGGGTGGTATTGGCAGAAAAGTAGACACACAGGTGAATGGAACAGAGTAGAAAACCCAGAAATACAACCATACAAATATCCTCAATCGGTTTTAGACAAAGATACAAAAGCAAGGCCTTTCCAGCAAGTAGTGCTGGGGCAATTGGACACACACTGGCCAAACAAGGACCTCACACCGCATACAAAAAATTACTTCAAAATGGATTACAGATACTTGTCTTTCTCTGACTGGCTTATTTTGCTTAGCATAATACTACATTGGGGATCACGCCCACAACCCAGGCATGTGTCCTGACCGGGAATCGAACAGTGACCTCCAGGTTCACAGGTTGACGCTCAACCACTGAGCCACGCTGGCCCGGTGAGATCCTTCTTTTTGTACAGCTGCACACTACTTTATGGTGTAAATGTACCACAGTTTTTTCATTTTTGAAATAACAAAATTATAGAGATTGGAGCAGAGATTAGTAGTTGCCAGAGGTTAGAGAAGGGTTGGTGATGGGTTGGTGTGGCTATAAAGGGTAGCACTAGAGAGCCTTGTGGTGATGGGACAGTTCTGTATATTGGCTGCAGTGGTGGTTACACAAACTTACACACGTGATGTACTTGCATAAAATGCTATTCTCTCTCTCTCTCTCTCTCTCTCTCTCTCTCTCTCTCTCTCTCTCTCTCTCTCCTCTCTCTCTCCCTCTCTTGCACACACACACACACACACACACACACACACACAAACCTAATATAATCCAAATAAGCATTGTGGATTATACCAATGTCAAATTCCTGGTTTTGATAATGTACTCCAATTCCCCATTGGGGGAAACTGGACAAAGGGTCCCTGGGACCTCTCTGTACATCTTGTTTTACAACTTTTTGGGAATCTATAACTGTCTCAAAATAAAAATTATTTTTAGGAAAGTCACTTGGGAGCTTAATAGACTATAGAGTTATAGCTCTGCTCTTCACCGAGTCGGATCTGGCAGGCCTGGGTGGGGGCCAACCAAATGCATTTTAACAGGCTCTTGAGGTTCTGGTGCCGGGAGACCAGCCACCCCGAGGAACACTGTCCGAGGGCAGTGGCTAGTCAAAACCATCTGTCCAGCATTCAGAAAACAAGGCCGCCTGACCCTGCCCAGATCCACCTGACCATGTCTCTGGAGTGGGACCCAGTCTCTTCTCATGTTAACAAGTTCCCTAGGGGATCCTAATGTGATAACAATAACCAGTTTGGGGTCCAAACCCCAAATAAAAAGCCCTGCTCTATATCTAACCAAAGTTCACACCATTCCTGTTTCCCTGCGTTCTTAGTTCTACAAGGAAAACATTTACACTAGGGTGCAAGCATATTTTAGTAATACTAGATTTGTATTGATTTAGTTATTGCCAAATAATTTTACACATAGTCTGGATTTTCAAAACCCCAAAATAACACTCCTACATTCAAAGGAAAGTTGTCCTCCCTGGTGGGCATCTTGGGAGTCTTTATGTGTTTTTCTTGCAATATTGCTAATGCTAAAAACCATTTTGTCACAATTCCTTTAGAATTGCTTCAGAGCTGGTTTATGAACCTCCTGAGAAAACTGGCCCCATTTTACATGTAAATTGTGTAATCTTGTGAATTTATATTTATACAAATGCTCATCTGTAGTTTGAGGAGCTCCTGGAAAGATCTTGAAAAGAAAAACATGTAAATGAAGCTCATTTCTCAGGGCTTCCTTTGCAGTTCCTGGGATGGCACCACTGTTTTGTCTGCCCAGCTCTCCTTGAGGTAGCACCTCCCCCTTCCAGGCAGCTCTGGAGCTGCTGCCAGTGATAGCACTCTGTCCCTCTGGGCATGAGAATGGACTCACCATCTAGGCATGGCCTATCACAGTACCTCATCTCCTTGGCAACAGTGACTGGTCCACAGGGTGGACACATGACCCAGTCCGGGCCAGTCAGAATCCTTCAATGGGATGAGTACATGGAGTCTGGGGCGAACACTGTCTTTCTCCTGGTGCTGCTAAACTGAATATAGTAATTTAGGGCTCTCGGTGGTCATCTTTCTGCCCCGGGGCAAGAACTCTCTGCAGAAGCTGCTAACAGAGACCAGCAGAGATTTGAGGTGAATGGAGAGTGTCCAGTTAGTACATACAACGTTTGGTTGAAGGCCTTTGGCCTCCTGCAATCTTCCTTGGATCCTCCAAGCTCACTTTCATTTGTACTTAAGTTCATTTGAGTTGGGTTTCCGTGCTTGTAATCCTGAAGTCCTAACGAATATGGTGCCCCCTTTCTTCTCAACCCTGTGAATGCCGATGTCATTCTACCCCTCAAAATGGACTTCCCCAGAGGGCCTGCCCTCAGCTGTGTGCCGGCATATGAACGGCTGGCGGCTGGGTCTTCCTGCTTCCTGAGGTGCGGGTGGGGGTGCATTGCAAAACAACGGGCACTGGAGCCCAGGAGGCTGGGTCAGGATTCCCCAGCTCAGGAAACCGTCCCAGGCAAACTCCGTAAACACCCCTCACTTCAGCCTCCCGGTCCCTGAAATATGGGCATGAAACTGGGACTCTGCAGTTGGCTGCAGTAGCTTTAAATCCTACAGTTCCTCTGAATGAAAAAGGAAATGACATTGTGGTCTTTGAATAGTAAGTCAACTCCCTGTAGGGTGTGAAGGGACGTCCTATACCCGTGAAATCGGCCAGTGGAGAAGGTTGAGGACGCTTCTCAGAGCCTTCGAGGTAGCCCCCATGTGAGCATGTATGGAATGCTCACTGCCGGCAGGCCTTGTTCTAAGTGCATTGCTTGTATTATCTCATTTAATCCTCATTAAAAAATGGATGGGGTAGCTATTGTACCCACTTTTCAAACTAGGAAACTGAGACTTAGAGAGTTTGAGTAAGTTGCCCACGGGACCTGATCCCAGCCTGACAGCTGCCAACGCCTGAGCCCCTGCCACTAACCCTGTGCCCTCTGCTCCCTCAGCTCTCCTCGCCCAGGCGGCCCGGAGCAGCCCCAGGGCTGAGTAATTTTACGGGAGGAGGGAGCCACTGTGTGCACCGTGTCTTTTAAGGTAGGAATTCAAAGCCGCCAGAACCACCACACTAGCCCAGTGACCAAGGTAAGTTCTTGCTTCCTCTAATCTACATGTGTAAACAGTCACCTTTCCGAGCAAAAACTTCTCGGCCAACTATTCATTTCTATTTATTTATGCACATAAGAATTTGCTTCTGCAACCCCAAAGCACCGGATTGAAGAGAAAATTGAGGCAAATCAGTGAAGCATTATGCAAATAAAAATAACACTTGTTTGACTTAATTTGTATTTTTCTTTTTTCAAAAAATAAACTGACCAGTCAGGTCAACCAAAATAGTTCACAGCTGCCTTCCAGGAGCTGAGGTGGGTAGGTGGCTGGTGTTAGTTAGCTTGGGGGCTGCCTGGCCCTGTTCCAGAAGGCCTGCCCCCCATCGGGGTGACCACGCTAGCGGCTGATCATCGGTGGCACCTATGCTCATGCACACAAAAGGATGTCCGAATGTCACAGCTGAATAGAAAAGTACGTTGTGAAATGGTCCCTCTAGTTCTGTAAGTAAATGGTCGTCTCTCTATTAGTTCATTCAACAAGCACTTATTGAGCTGTGAACAATATTCCTGGAAAAGATTTGGAGGAAGATATATTAGCTGGCTAACGGGGCAGGTATCTGGAGCAGGAAGTTATGGGGACTGTTACTTTTCACATTGTGTATCTCTTTCAAGTTCTAGTGGCTTATAATGAGTGCATGTGACTTTTGCAATAAGAAAAGGAAAAAAAGGGGGGGAAAGAGAGACTTGTCACTGGGTTGTTCCCACTGCATCTGTCGAGGCTCAGGGTGGAGGTTGGCAGTGGTATCTGATAAATCCTTGCCTGGG